CCGGCTCGAAAACGGTTTGGACTGTGCCTAGCATACAACAGGAAAGCAGAACAGCTTTTTTTGTTTCAAGGTTTGAGCCATGCTTTGGTCCCTGTTGCTTACAGATGACCCCCTCCCAGAAAAGCCAGCCAGCTAACCAGTCAACCAATCAACCAATAAAAGGAGAGGGCATAGCTGGGCGTGGGTTGCACGTCTGTAATCCCAGCACTTGGGAGGCTGCGCTGTGAGTTTGAAGCCAGCCTGGGCCCATAGTAAATTCAAGGCCAGCCCAAACTACGTAGACCCTGTCTCAAAAAGACCAAAAAAAAAGGAAAGAAAGGAAGGGGTATCATTTAGCTGAGAGCGTGGGTAGGAGAGCTTCAGGCGCAGTGGAATCAGCCGTGTCCACACTTAGTTTCCTGGTCTCCTGGCTCTGTTCCGCCTGGTTGTACAGCGTGTGCAGGCCGTTGTCTCCTGGAGTCTCTGGTAACTGCAAGTTAGTCTGTTCTTTCGGTTACCCCAGGGGAGGATACAGAGTGCTTCTCTGCATTCTGTGTCCAGAGGGTGGGGTTCACAGAGAGGGCCCACAGATGTGCTCAGGGCAGGGCGGGCCCCTCCCAACCCCAGGATCTCGCAGAGGAACTCGGGGCCACCGTTGCCCGTGGGACCCGGCGGGCTCCTGTCTCCAACCGCAGGAAGCAGGGAGAGGCCTGTGGCGCATCGCCCTCCCGCAGTGCCAGTGGGGCTGGAGCTTGGGTCCCATGGCAGCTGTGGTCAGAGCCGGTGCCCCTGCCTGGAGCAGTGCTGGGGGGCCAGGCACGCGGCCTAGCTCCGCCCCCCCCATAGGAGTGGCGAGGGCCCCACCGTCAGTGCTAAGCACATCTGCTACGCTGCGCCCAGCACTGGCTGTGCCTGCCTCATCTGACCTTCACGCCCCACAAAAGGCGCTTCCACAAGCTCCGCGTTCCAGACCGGGAGAGGGCCTGGCAGCACACAGCACCTGTGCCCAGGGCTCAGGGCCTCGGACTGAAGTGCTGCTTTCCTGCTGCAGGCGCTGAGCCACACCCCAGCTGGGAGCACGTCCTGTTCACTTCCTGCCACAACCAGCACGTGCGGCTGCCTCCCTCTCGCCGCCGGCTGCACTCCTGGGCGGATGACTGGAAGGCCATTCTGGACAGCAAGCGGGCCCGCTGACTGCCGCCGGGCTCCTCCCCACTGACTCCAGTGCTCCTGCTCAGCGCCTGTGGGCCCGTGGCTCCCTCCAGGCGCGGGGGCCAAGACCACCTCCTGCTGCACGCCCCTTCCCCGGCCCTGCCAGGCCTTAACCTGCTCTTGGAGTAGGGCTGGGCCTCCGGGCCCCTGGACAGAGACACGTGCACCTAGGAAGTTTGGACTGACCTCAGGGAGCGGCCCAGGCTGCCAGGGGCCCTGCGGCTCACTCCAGGGAGTTGTTCTGACCAGCAGCCCTGCCTCCTCGCCGGGGGAGGTCCCTGAACGGTCAGGGCGCCCTGGCCTCTGGGTCTGCTGCTGTCAGCAAGAGGTGCTGGCTGGGAATGTGGCAGCCGAGGTGCTTCCTGGTGGGCTGAGGCCCTCACAGTCCTGACCACAGCACCCATCCTACTCGCCCGGCCTGTCTGGGCTTCCCAAACGACTTGTCATGTGTTCAGCAAACACCAGGCCCTGCCCACAACCAGCTCCAAGGTATTGCTGCTCCATCCTTGGGCCGCTGCTCAGGGCCCAACAGAGAGTAGGCTGAGTGTTTGTTGAATGCATGAGAAATAAATGCTGTTCACTTATGAGCCGGGCGTGGTGACGCACGCCTGTAATCCCAGCACTCGGGAAGCTGAGGCAGGAGGATCGTTGCGAGTTCAAGGCCAGCCTGGGCTACAAAGTGAGCTCAAGGCCAGCCTGAACTGCATAGTGAGACTGTCTCAAAAAGACAAAAAAAAAAAGACAAAAAAAAAAAAGAAATGCTGTTCACTTAGAGCCTGATGTCGTGGCCTCCTTTAGCTCCACCCCAAGGTCCTCTATTGTAGGGCCCCTCCTCAGGAACCAGGTGTCTGGGGTCCCACGCACAAGAGGGCCTTCAGGGTGCAGCACTGCCCCCTCTTGCTGTGCCAGTGCAAGCTGCCAGTGAAGGCCAAGGCAGGACAGCCCGCGTGGCCGAGTGGGCAGCCCTGGGGTCGCCTGTGTCAACCCTTCCGGGCCAGGCCTGCTCCCTACCTGCCCCTCCTGGTCTCTGCTCCTCTCCCAGCCAAGACCCAGAGCCCTGACTTTTACTCTTCGAGCAACTGAAAAGATACAACCTGAACCAGCCGTTTCCTTGCTGTGCTCTCAGGGAGTTTGGAGGCCATTGCCCTCGAAGGAACATGAGTCACCCACGCTTCTAATTTGTCCACCTGTGGGGCCTTCCTGGCAGGCCTGTCTGTACTCTTTGGGGTACCTTGAGGGTCAGGCCAGGTAGGGAGAAGACCGTGGCTCAGGCTTTGCTGAGCTTTCTGTCTCCCTGACTTTCAGGGTCTCACAGGCTTGGGCCCCATCACTGCAGCCGGGGAGCAGGGGTCTTCCCGGGCTTCACTGCTGCAACTCAGGGGTGAGGTTCTCCTGAGCTCCACTGCCCCAACTCAAGGAGGAGCCCCCCCCTGCCCCGGCTCTCACCCCAGCCTGAGGAGGAACGTCCCCTCTAGGCCCTGTAGCCTAGGGCTCCCCTGGGCTCTGTCAGCCCAGCTTACGGATGAAGGGTTTGCCCTAGGCTCCATCACCCTGGCTTGGGGGGAAGCCCCTCTGCAGGCCCCGTTGGTCCGGCTCAGGGAGGGAAGGGTCCCCCTGAGCTTGGCCAAACAGCTCTGCACAGCCTCGCCACCACCTGCAGCACAGCTTTGTCTCTTCGGGACCGCTGTACAGGTCATTCTGAGCAGGAACGCACTGGGCTTGCAGCAAGAGATCCAGAAGCCATGCAACGTCCAGAGGAGTTCTGGCCACCCTGCCCGGGGCCCTGGAGGAAAGCAGGCTGCGGGTTGCTGGCTCCCCAGCTGCTCCCCAGAGCCTGCTGCTCTGAGAGGGGGAAACAGCTGCTAACAGGTCATGCCCAGGAGTCCCTCTGTGAGGGCCAGGAGAATGTGAGATGTGAGTCCTCTGCTTGTGACTCCGAGTTGGCCTTTGTTCTCGTCTTCCCTTCAGTGCAGGCCCCGCCCTTCACCCTGACCCACCTTCCCCATCCTGTCCCTACTGACTGCATCTGCATTTACAGGGACCTGGATGTGGAGGGCTGTGCTTCCTCCAGCTGTGCGGGTGGTGGCACTTGCTGGGCCCTCAGGGTGGGTGGGGAGGTTGCGTCCCACACCTGCTATGTGCTAGGGCTGGTGCGAAGTCCAGGCCCACGGTGATGAGTGAGACCCATCCAGTGCTGCCATGAAAAACATGGTGACGAAGGTCACCCAGGAAGCAAAAAGCAGCATGGCTCATTTCTACCTTGGGGCCTGTGCCTGGATGGCAGAAGGAGTCCTGCTGGGCTCCCCGGCTCTGTGGGCTTCCCCTTCCTCCTGCTGAGCAGTAACCAGCCTCACGCAGAGGGTCAGCAGGGCCCTGCGTCTGGCCTCTGACAGTCCTCACCTCTGTGCTGGGGGCCCCTGGACAAGCTGGAGGTGCAGGGACCCTCCCACACATCGGAGCCACACAGGACAAGCGTGGGGCGGCCTGGCCCTGACCCCCACAGAGGGATATCACCTCCTTGCCGCGACCCCATTTTCCTTCTGACTCACAGATGCGTTCGCACCCTACGGGTCTATCAGCGCAGGGCCGCCTGACTACGCCTGGTTGTACAAAGCTATAGCAGGAGAGTTGTGTTCTGAATCCCGGAGACGGACTCCTCTGGAGCCTCTTCTTTAGAGCTGAGGCCTGCTGCTTTGAGCCCTAAAGCCTGTCTAGAGGCTCAACCCCTAGCTGCCACGTTTATTCTCCGCTCAGCAGGAATCGCTGGCCTCGGGGCGGGCAGCCACCAGAGCAGCGTCATTAGCATAAAGGAGCAGAAGTAATTGCCGGGGTGAAGGTGCTTCAGAACCCAACCCACCAGACAGCAGTCCCAGGGCGCCTGGCAGGACAGGTGCTGGGAAAGGCCCAGTACTGGGGCTGGTGCGGCCCGAGGCCCAGGTCCAGGGACAGCCCCGTGCAGGCTGTGCAGGGTGGCCCGGACAGGAGCAGCCCGCGGAGCGGGAGGGCGTGTCTCGGGGCTTGCCTGTGCTGCCCAGTGCCGTGCGTGGTCACTGCTGTCCTCAGTGTCCTGGGAAGGGCAAGGTGCCCACAACAGCTGGGGCCTGACCCCCCAGAAGTTCACTGTCCTCCTGTCAGAGTTCACCCGACTGAAGTGGAGGTCACTTTCCTCCACGCAGGGCAGCGTATGTTTTTCTTCAAATCCGCTTGGCAAACCCACCTCCAGATGGGAGCGCTGAGCTTGGGCCTGTCCGGGAGGGCTCAGCCTGGTCTCCATAGGGTGGCAGAGCTTCTCGGCTCCCCTCACAGCTGCTGGGAAGCGGGGGTGGGAGGGAGCCAGAGCGCCCGTGTTGCGGGTCTCCCCTTCAGTACTTTAAAACAGTTCTACGGATTGAGTCTAAATTCAATCTCAACTAAATTGCCCAGGTTGTCCTCAAACTCATGATCCTCCTGCCTCAGCCTCCCAAGCAGCTGGGATTACAAGGGTGCACTACCATACTCAGCTCTCTTCAGCTTTGGTTCCTTCTGGGCCCAGCCCGTTGGGCAGTGCCCCCACGTTCAGGGCGGCCTCCCTGCTCAGCTTGCTGTCGGCCTGCCGGTTACTTCGAGAAGCAGCCCCACAGACACACCCAGAAGGTGCTTTACCAACCACCTGGGCTGTCCTCAGTCTAATCAAGGTGGCGCTGAGGAATAACCCTCACGGGGCCCTTGTCATCCTCCTCGACCTGCTCCTGTGTGCCTGTCCACAGGCTCCGTGAGCTGTCCTCCGTGAGCCGCAGCTGGGCCTTGGGAGGCTCTCTGATGCCCCTGCTGCCCACTGAACCCTCACCCTCGTGGACAGAGACTCCTGTTCCCGGCCCCACTGACCTCCCAAGGCTGCGTTGTCCCTGAGCCTGGGTGTCTGGCCAGGGGCAGGCGAAGCACAGGCCACCTCCAGAAGGACCCCCGAACAGCTCTGCTCAGAGTCCTCTAGTCCCTGAGGTCCCAGACCCCGTCTGAGGGGTGCAGCCCCATCCTTCCCGGACACAGGGCCCCAAGTTCTCCAGCTTAGACCAGATCCTACCTGATGGCACTTAACGAAACCCACGAAAAGTCCTTGCCCCTGCGGTGGTCATGCAGACGTGGTGATGCGTGGTAAGGACATGCCACTGACACGCTCGTTTCTGTCCTTCCTCACAAAAGCCCTCAAAGCGGCGCAGTTCCTGCTCTGTGGAGAGGGGGGGCCTCAGAGACAGACTTTGTGGAGGCCCCGCTGCGTTTCAGACTCAGGCCCGACTCTCCGCCTTCCTCTTGGCCGTGTGGCCTTTTCCTCAGAGATCCACATGCAGAGACAAACAGCTGAGGCCGGATCCCCCTGCTGGGCCCCCATCCTCACCTTTCTGCCAGGGACCCAGGGCAGGGCTCCCAGAGATGCTGGAGGGCCCGCCCACGGCAGGTGGAAGCTCTGCCCACACGTGAGGAGGGACAGCGGGGTGTCCTGACCCCTCGGAAGGGTCTTTTTTTTGAGCTTTTATTACATCACTTGCCCTTAAAACCGTGTGCTTCTTCCAAGGGCTGCACCTCCTGCGGGGGCACCAGGTAAGCGCGCCGCGCCGTGCCCACCCCCTGCCGTGGTGACTCGGTCTCTGTGCTCAGAGCTGCTCCCTGGTGCAGACCCAGTGGAGGTGGTGAGAGGCGTCAGCTGCACGTCTGTCCTTCCAGCATGAGACTCGGAGCGAGTGGCCGAGCCCGCGCGGAACAGAGAACCGGTGTGCGCTCTCTTGCTGCTTCCCGCCCCGCGAGAAGAGCTGCTCACTTTCCAGCTGGGAGAGGCCTTGCCACCCATCCGCCCTCCCCAGGCTCACGCCTCAGCCGTGGACCCATCCCTGGGAAGGCCAGACTTCTAGTGCGTGTGTTAGACAGGCAGCCACGCCTGCTAGTGAGTCGGGCACGGTGATGCAGCCTATAACCCCGCAGGAGATGGCCGCAAGCTCACGGTCGGCCTGCGCTACACGGCGAGACCCTACCTCAAACACACCGCACCAGCAAGCACAGCTTGTGTGTCTGGAAATGCTGGCCACGCTTCCTGCCTGGGGACCAAGTGATGCGTCCAGGGTGCTATCTGCCTCCTGACCCTTTGGAAAGTGGGGTCTCACCCTTCACCCCTCTTCTCTCTACTTCTGGCCCTTGGCCACAGACCCTCCCCGGGGCAGAGCAGCCAGCACTGACCTCTGCAATCCAGATACCACGGTGAGCCTGCGGTCGAAGCATCAAAGAAAGGGCTCAGAAGTGGGGAGAGCTTGTGTCTGCGACAGCCCAGCAGCACTGTGACAGGAGCTGTGTCTGGGTTACTTTTCTCTTGTTGCTTGGACAAAATACCCGACGCTCACAATGAAGGAGGGAAAGGGCTATTTGGCTCAGTGTGTGGTGGTTTCGGTCCATAATCAGCTGGCTCCGAGGCAGGGTGGCACATGGCACCAGGGCAGCAGTTCAAGGCAAAGCAACAAGTTCAAAAGGGGCAGAGCAAGCTCTGTGCCTCCCTTGCATTGTAAGCAGGTTCGGAGGGTGCGGCTCTCACACCATCTCCGTGCCCTCCTCCTGCACAGGATGA